CCTATGTACCTGTTTTTAACCTTAATTGATTTTAGAATGTTATATCTCAGCTAAAGGGCAATACGACCCTAAACTGTTCTTAGAAAAAAAAGATGATTGTAATCTCTCAGCCCAGTTCGTGTGCTGATGTCATCCCACTGCTTGCTCCTAATGTATAAAATAAACCTCTTCTGAAGGCAGAGCGGGAAGACTTGCACCCAACTCTGACTCCCGTGTCTTCCTCGCCCCCTTTCCCCTTTTTTCTCCCTTTCCCCCTTTTTTAGGAATCTCCACTCGCCGACACCTTCCCACCTTAGGGTCCTGCCTGTCCTGCCTCCAGACACCTCAATAGTTGGAGCTGGTCTCCAACAGCTCCCCACACTTGCTCACCCCCAAAACCCGGCTCAGGTGTACCTGCTCACCCCCTATGGTAACTGCTGTCTCTCTCCCAAGTTAGGACTTCCTCCACGCTGGGTTCTTACTCTCTTCTGCATCCTCAGTGCCCCTCAGGCTTGGCAAAGGGCAGGTGCGAATAAAGGTGAGGGAAAGACTGGGAAGGGAGGCAGGTGCAGCAAAGACTGGACAGAAGGGACGCAGGCTGGCCTCTCTGGAAGAGCCTGAACACTGAAGGACACCCCCGCCGTCTCCTCCCTCTGCCACTCCCCCACACACCTGTCGTGGCCAGGAGGGAGTTGGGGGTAGCTGTTGGGGGGGTGGACACAAGCGTCCATGTTTGCCAGTGGTAACTTCGGAGCACTAAGGCTTCGATCACTTTCTTCCACCTCTTTGTGACCTCTGGGTACCCAGTTCAGGGTTCCATTTTTCAGGGTTCTGTCTCATTTAGGGGTGCCTGTCAGTGGAAGGGTGGGAAAGCAGATCAGAGGGGCTGGCTGGCTGCCCCCAGGCACCCCGTCAGTGGGGGCGAATGCAGGTCAGTACGCCAGCAGCTGGCCGGCCTGTCCTCGCCTGCCCTGCCCACAAGCGGCAGCCAGGCTTTTGTCCACTTTACCGGGGCTGGAGGAGGCAGCAGAGCTCGGCTGCACAGAACCGGCTGGGAGGTGCAGGGGTGGGGGTGGGGGACAGCGCCACCTGTGGCCGCTGCTGCTGCTGCAGCCTGAGCAATGCTGGTAGGACAGACCGGCCCCTCCCCGCCGCCCCCCCCCCCCCAGCTCCCATCCATTGTCATCACAGCCTCAGCCAGCTATATTTAAGGCCCTCAGGCTCCAGGATTGCATTCTCCCCCAGTCTCCGCCGAGCCCAGAAAGGACCATCTCTTCTTGGGTGCGCTCTCATCCTCTGGAATCTCCTGTCCAGAGACTCCCAAGTGGACACAGCTGCTTCCGTGAGTCACCTCCAGGGATTAGGAAAGCCGAGAGCCTCAGCTTTCCACAGGGAAGTGGGGTGTGTGTGTTGTGTGCATGTGTGTGTGTGTGTCTGTGTCTGTGTCTGTGTGTGTGAAGGGGCCTAAGAGACTTGGAAAAAGAAAGCAGACAGGTGCTTAGGCAGCACCCCAAGTGTGCTGTGTGGGGCCAGGCCTTCTGACCAGAGTCCTCTGTGATATAAAAATTACAAAAGAAGAAATGTGGGGATGCCTGGGGAGTGGAGGCAGAGACTGGGGTGGGCAGATAGGCCCCGCAAACCTACAGCCGGCCGTCCCGCCCAGTGTGGCCGGCACATGGGAAGGAATAGAACAAGTCCTCGGACCCGAGTCTCGGGGCCAGAGAGCTCTTGTCCAGCCTGGGTTTATGGACCAGAAAGCAGGCCCAGATGGGAAAGCGTTGCCTCAGCTCCTCTGCTGGACGCTGGATGTCCCCTGCTTTGCTCAGGAGCTGGGTGAGCACCTGTCCCAGCCTCACAGACAGACCCTCACCGCCCAATTCCCTGCCCTCGGCCTCTGAGGGGCCTCTGAGGGGCGTCCACTCAGCCTCTGCCTCCCCGTCGTCCCTCCTGAAGAGAAGTGCCCTGCTGTTCCCTCATTTAGGGGCCTGTCAGAGGAGGGTAAGCAGATTGAGGCTTGGAGGAAAGTGGAGGGGATCCGGACAGCTACGTGACAGGACCTCTGGTCCAGAGCCATGTCCAGAAGAGGACACTGGGTAGGGGCCCCCTTCTGCCCGCCCCCCCAGCCACACACACAGCCTTCAGGGAACAGGCAGGGGAGGCTGCAGTCTCTTCGCTGCTTAATCCCAAGCTTCGTCAGTGCTTTAAAAAGAATCAGTGGCTCATCCACTAAAGCCAGGGGTCTGGTTGCCGGAGGCCCAGGAGGTCAGAGATGAGCGTCAGGCCGCGCCAGCTGTGCTAATTAGGAGCGGAGCATCCGGGGAAATGAGCCAGTGGTCGGTGCCAGGGAACGTTAACCCTGAGCTGCCGGGCTGGGCCCCTGTTGTCTCAGGAAAGCTGGGGGCCTCCCCCCACTGGGGGTGGTACCTAGCCCCTCTCCTTTTGGGTTGTGAAGAGGAAGGAAGGGTGGTCATTTTTAGGGTGCAGGCAGACCCTCTTCCTGGGTGGGGGCTGGCCACATGGGGAACCCAAAGGGTGATTCCCGTTATGTTTGCTGAGGTATGAACAGGAGGGCAAGGGAGCTTTAGGGGTGGCCCTTGGCCCCGGCTAATGCTGCAGTAATCCACTCTCCCAGCGTCTTTATGGATGTCCAAGGGCAGCAACCTTCCAGGAGCTGGAGTGCTCGCTAACGCTGACCCTGATGAGGACAGCAGGCCCCGGCCCACCTCCCGTGCCCTGGGCTTAAAGAACACGTCTGGGGCCTGTTCACACCCACATCAGAACAGTCTACACACACAGAGAGAGACACGCACCCGCCAGTGCCTGCAGGCCCCTCGGGGAGGCTGGGGCCAGGGCAGAACCGAACCTCGCAGAGGCAGGCGGGACGGGGCTAATGTGGAAAGCTCCTCTTCCGTTTCCTTCTTTGTGCCCAGGCTCTATATCAGGCCCACAGCAGGCAAGCCCTCCCCGCTCAGAGGCCTGCCTGCCACCAGGCCTGCCAGAGAAGGTGTGAGGCCATTCCAGGGATTCCACCAAGCAGCCCTGGGCTTCAGCATCTCTGAGCCCTCGGGGACACGGCCGTGATGCCGAGGCCCAGATTTGGGAAAGAACCCAGCGCCAGCTGTCACAGCCTCCCTCTCTCCCGCCTGCCTCCTCTGACCACTGCGGGTGGCTGAGCCTCCTCCAGACCAGTCACCCAACCCTGCTGGGCGCCCTGAGGGGCCCAGACCTGAGCCTCAGGCAGAGGAGGGAGGAGGAGCTGCCTGGCGTTGGGCTCTGAGGAGAAGAAAAGCCAGAGGCTGCTCTGTCCCAGCCTGAGCCCAGCCCTGGGCATGCCTGGGCCCAGCTCTGGGTCACCCACCCAGCTGCTGGTGGCCGTGGGCAAGCACCAGCCCTGTGATGGGTGAAGCGGGATGATCTTGGTGCTGTGTTATCTGGGCCACTGCAGGGAGCAGGGGCGACATTTGAAGACTCCTGACATTGGGCCTGGCACAGCGTGGATATCGCCGTTACTTTTAATTCACTTACCATCTTGTCGAACGTTGAGTTGGCTATATATCAGGTACTCACAATAATTAAATAGTAAAAGGAGACATTTTCTCAGAGCAAACTTGTGGGTTTCCAGATGGGGAAACCAAGGCCCAGAGTCTCTCCCAAGGTCACACACTCAGAAGCTGGGCTCACGGCCGGGGCTGCACCTCCATAATCCATCTCAGCCATAGAGCAGCCCGGGGCTCGCTCACTCTGGGGCCGGGAAGCTGAGTGCAGAGAAGCTGAGGCTCTGGCACTTGGTGAGGCACAGCGGGCTGCTCCCCAGTGCCCGGCTCTGCTCTCTCAGCCAGGGAGCACACAAGTGGTGGGTGAGCCCGGCTGGGAGCCGCCTCCATCACCTCAGCCGGGGTGCTCCCCTGGGCCCTGTGAGGGAGACCACAGCCCCACAGAGCTGCGGGGAGGCCCCGGTGGGGAGGGCCAGGCGGTTTCCACAGAAACCGTGCCCTTGGCTTGGCAGGTTGTCGTTCTCGCAGCCATGACTCTGCCCCACGGCCCTGGAGGTGTGGGGGAGCCCCGGCCCCCCCAGGCTGTGGAGGTCCACACGCGGGAACACCGCCAGGAGGAGGAGCAGAAGGAGGAGCGGCAGCACAGCCTGCACATGAGTTCCTCGGTGCAGAGGCGGACCTACCGCAGCAGGTGGGCCTGGGGACCCCCGCCACACCCCTGGGGCTGCCCTCGTCTGAGGTGGGGGCTCAGTCCTGATTTCTGGCTACCTGGTCTGAGGTGGAAGGTAAAACCCTGCCCTCTGCAGACCCCAGGCTGAGGCCGAGGGTGTGGATGCAGCCCTCATCTCGGGGCGCCCCCACCCAGATCCTAGCCCGCCCTCAGGCACCACTGACCCCCTTTTCCCGGGCAGTGAGGAGGAGTACCAGTTCAGCGCTGCAGACTACGCCCTGGCAGCCGCCCTGGCCCTCACCGCCTCGTCAGAGATGACTCGGTAAGCAGGTGACCTTTCTGGAAAGCCCCGAGCTGCAGGAGCCATCCTGCCCAATCCCCGCCTCGCAACTGGGCTGCAACACGGAGAAAGAGCTGCCCCAAGTCGCAGGTCTAGAATGACGAGCTTGACCCAGGGTCAAGACCAGCGCTGTGTGACCCCGCTCTGGGTGGGTCCTTAGGAGGGTGGGGTCTCCCATGGGAGAGGTGGGGTCTGCCCTTCCCCACTGGCTACATATAGTACGGGGGGCTGGGGAAGCGCAGGGCATCATCTGGTGACCAGCTCCATTTTGGGCACGTGTCCTGGGGCGGGAGGCCCCTGCCTGCAAAATCCAGGATGAAGGCCTGTCCGCTTGGCCACAGTGAAAGCAAGAGGAGTAAAGGTTTGTGACAGGGTCTTTCGAGCGACACCAACAGTATTTATTATGCACCTGCTGTAAGCAGGGCCCAGTCAGGGTTTTCTGGAAGCGCGAGGACAAAAGTTGCTCTGTCCTCAAGAAGCTTAAATGCACCAGGCGGTGCTGGGCCTGGCCTCTGTCACTGCAGGGAGGCCCGGCTGAGGCGCCAGACCTCCAGCGTGGAGCTGGAGCAACGTGGGCAGAAGAGGGTGGGCTTCGGCAACGACTGGGAGCGGACAGAGGTGGCCTTTCTGCGGACCCAGCGGCTGCTGCGCCAGAGACGCGACTGGAAGGCCCAGAGACAAAGGGTGAGGGGCTGGGGGGACCCTGGAACCTGGGCCCATCTGTGCCGCCCACCTCCCCAGGCCCCTACTAGACAGCCAGATAGCCAGAGAACCAGGCTGTGGGCTTCAACCTGGATTTGAGTCCCACCGCCCCCCTGCTCTAGCTGTGTGAACTGGGCCCCAGTTTTCCAATCTGTAAAATGGGTATGTGGCTGTCCAGGCTGGCAGTGTTGACTCTCCCTGGATCTAGAGCACAGACTCTCAGGCAGTGCTGCTCCTGACAGAAGTCAGGGGCCTGTAGCTGCCCTGGGGACCCCTTTCCCCAAGCAGCTCCCATGTTTTTTACACATTAATTCATTGAATCCTCTCTGCATCCCCACGGCAGGGGAGGGAAGCTTACTATCCCCAGGCTTGCCTAGGGCCTGCCAGCCAGTAAGTGGCAGAGTTCGGAAGCCACGCTGGCTGGTTCTAAAGCCCAGACCCTGCCCACTGCGCCACCCTACCTGCCACTCAGCTGCCATGAAGGGGGCTCCGGCCACTGGCTCTGACTTCAGCCTGGGTGTCAGGGAGAAAGGTGACAGCAGCGGAGGTGCCCTGGCTGGAAGGACTCACAGCCCCTCCCCTCTCCAGACGGAGGAGAAGGTCCAGGAGGCCAAGGAGCTGAGGAAGCTGTGTTCGGGCCGGGGGCCCTGGTTCTGGATGCCCCTGCGCTCCCACGCAGTCTGGGAGAACACCACGGTCCTGCTAACCTGCACGGTCCGGGGCTCGCCTCTGCCCCAGGTCACCTGGTAAGCCCTGCAGCCCAGGAAGGGGCCCACCGCCTCCGTGCTCGCCCAACACCTCCCTTCAGGAGCCCAGTTCCTGCCTGAGAATTCCCCCTTGGAAAGGCTGCACAAGGCTCCCCCCAACCCCAGAGGAGCGGCAGCTGTGGAGAGGCTCAAGCTGGTTATTCTTAGTCGCTTTCCAGACAGCCTGGGCCTGGGAGACTGGGCGCCAGGAGCCAACACATATAAAAACATGATTCTGGTGGCATGGGACAGCTGCTGCTCTGAGCTGGTGGGCAGGGGAGCGGGGCGGGGCAGGGGCGCAGTTAGGGAGGGCAGGGCCCCTGTGGTGAGGAGGGGCCTGGAGCGGGACCTCTCTCCCTCTCAACTTAGGGTGCCAGGCCCATACCTTCTCTGGTCTCGGTTTCTTGTTCTATAGAATAGATCAAAGACTTTCTGTGCAGCTTGCTTGTGAGAGGAATTGAATGCCTCACCGATGTGGAGGTCCTGAGAACGTGAAGGGGCTGGGGACGCAGGCAGTGTCACCCCAGAGTAGAACCACAGCCGAATCTCAGGGTCTAGGCCTCGTGGGCAGGGGGCCGGGGAGTGGGGGCTGGGAGCAGGCATGGCTGCGCCAGGATCTCTGTTCTACCACGGGGAGGTGTGTCATCGTGCAGTTGAACCCGTTTACTGAGTGGTCCCTGGCTTCCCACTCTGAGAAACTTTAGGGATGAGGAAGGGATTTCAGCAACTATTATCAGGTACGTCATCTGTCCTGGCCCAGGATGGGGCACTGACGACGTGGAAATGAGCCAGACACAGTCACGTCCCCAGGACCCTCCACTCAGAAGAGAATCGCCAACATGGAGAAGCAGTGGTGGGTGAGATGGAGATGGGAGTGGAGGTGAAGAAGAGGAGGCTCCCTGGCCTGGTGCATCCAGGAAGGCATCCCGGAGGAAGTGACACATAGCCAGACCTGAATCTAGTAGGGAAGAGAAGGCAAGCTCTCAAGGAAAAAGCAAGTTCTCGTAGTCAAACCCATTTTACCTGAACCCAGCAATTTGGGCTCACGTGAGCTTTGAGCCACCCGTGAAGTACAGAATGTTAAGCCCATTTCACAGGAGAAGCTATCAAGGCTCAGAGAGGCAACGTGGCTTGTGTAAGGTCACACAGCCAGTGTAAGCCGCGATTCTAACTCTGGTCTCTCTCCTGCCGGTCCATAGCTCTTTCTACTGGCTACGGATCAAGAATGATCACTACAGCTGAAACTTAAAGCGCACGTAATGCTTCAGAAGTCAGGGAAATTGAAGGCACTCAGGAATGATCAAGAAAGGCATTTGAGGGAGCGGGTGCTGGGGCTGGTTCCTGCCAGCTGGCATTCATTCAAAAAAAGTGCCATGCACGCACCATGCTGGGCCCTGGGATTCTGGAGAACCCGAGGCAGACCCTCCCTGCATGCTGCTGGTCCCGAGGTCCGCCCCTAACAGCCAGCCGGGAAAGGGGGCGGTCAGCACCGCGGCTGGCCTGGCCTGGCAGCCCAGCCCTGCCCTGCCCCATCTTGCCTGCACTGAGGTCACATCTGAGGCATCACAGGAAAGCTTGTTGGGAAGGACTCTTGTTTTCCCCCTGCCACCAAGGTTACCACAACAGGGAGCTGAGCATCCCTGACAAGTGGGTGGCCCCACCCTCCTCCAGCCAGAGGGCTTAGGTGGCGCCAGCACACCTCGTTGTCCATCATCAGCCACCTCCGGCTCGCCAGGGTCGTCCTGGGGCTGCCTCTAGGGCTTTGCCCAGCCCTGGGAGAGACCCAGTGCAGAGGAAGAGCCTGGTCACAGCCTTGTCAGGTGAGTCCTTCGTGAGCACCTGTTGGGCACTTCCTGGATGCAAGGCCAACCCCAGGGCAAACTGGGCCACGCTGGCCGCAGCAGTGGGCCCTGGCCACGCCTCCACCCAAACCAGTCAGTCTCCAGACCAAGCAGCATTCCAAAAGAACAAGCAAACTGAAAGTCTGTGGGCAAACATTTCAATAAGTAATAAAAATCTCCCCTTTCGCGGGGCACGCGGTGCCAGGCTCTGGGCGGGGCGCTGGCCTCGGCTGTCTCGTTTGGTGCGTGCTGCTTTGTTATTGGCAGCCCCTTAGGGTCAGCCTCACAGCCCAGGCGTCCAGGGGCTCTTGCAGGCTGGAGGCTGAGGCCCAGAGAGGCCAGAGGGGAGCTGGTCTCCGCTGTCCAGGCTGCGCCCAGAGCAGCAGCTGCTGCTTTTACTCGGAAAGGCAAAGGCTGGCGAGGCTGAGGCATCTGGAATGTTCCTAACAGGTGTCGGGTGTCGGGGGCCTGACCTTGACGCCCAGATTAGACACTGCCCCCCTGCCATGAAAGACTCATTTGGGTTCCTTCCAGTGGGCCACTGTGTGGGGGCCCTGGAGATGTAGGTGCTGCTGTGTTTGGTTGTCTTGGAGACAAACAGTGTGGGGGAAGCTGGGTCCAAGGAAGGCCTCACAGAGGCCCCCGATGCCCACTCTTGCTGAGGGCTCCTCCTCCACCCCAGCCTCCCCCACAGGGGCAGACTAGCCATTCAGCAGCCTCATGAACACGGAGCCCAGAGCGGGGCCAGACTTGCCCGAGGCAACACAGCGAGAACCTGAGTCTCCTCGCTTTACACTTCCACCCCCAGCCCCGAATCCTTAGGCTTCCGGGTGCCACAGTGGACAGTGGACAGAGACATGACCACCCCACCGTCGAGTGCCCATGCAGGAAGAACAAGACTCTGAGATCACAGAAAACAAACGGCAGTGTCCAGGGCAGTGCCAGCAGGCTGCAGGGCAGGGCGATCCACTGGGTCACCCTTGGGAGTCACTGCATGCGTTTGAAAAGGGCCTTGCGAGGGTCTCGAGCCCCACCCTCTGCCCGAAATTCTGGGACACAGCCTGGGCTTGAATAAGGTCGTTTCTATCCCGTGTCAGAGTCTGGACGGGGCAGGCTGGGGGTGCTGCTGCTCAGCTCTGCCCCCACAGACTCCTCGGGGCCTCGCCGGCCCTCTCGCTGCAGGAGGACACAGCCCTGGACTTCGCGGCCTGAGGCAGTAGCCTTCACTGCCACGTCCTGGCCCAGGGCAGTGGGAGCAGCACCAGGGAAGGGGCAGAGGACACCGTCCGCATCGGCCGAGTGACACTTGTCCTTCCTTTCTGTTGGCAGACTTGAGGCTATGGCCATACCTGGCAGAAAGAGGCTAGGACATGTGGAGGAGTGTCGGGCTCAGCGATCTTTTCTGTCCCTTTAGAATAAGAGGAGAAAGGCTATTGGAGAGCAGTGCGCAGATTTCTTTTTTTTTTTTTAAAGGTTTTATTTATTTATGCATACAGAACTGGGGTACAGGTCAGAGGCTTAGGGACAGTGAGAGGATTCACCAGAGGCAGAGTGGGGAGCAGAACAGGCAGATGAGCGAAGTACATGGCTGAGGGGAGCAGCGGGAAGACAGGAGAGGTCT